ACACACACACACACACACACACACACACACACACACACACACACACACACACACCCTGCCCAACCGTCGCAAGTGTCAGAAGCTGTTTTGAAAAAAGCATTTTAAAATGTCTCCAAACTTCAATTAATGCATAAATTTTGTTTTTTTAGTTTGAGATCTTCATATTGATATTGCAGTTTTATACAGCATTAATAACCAATTTAATTTGATCTAACCAATTTATGTCATTAGTTACATTTAAAATCTAATTCCAGTTCAAACAGAATAACCTATTGTCAACTTAATTATCTTCAAACTAATGAAATATAAAGTTATTAATGGGAAAAATCCATCTGGATAACAGCAGACTGACTGCTCGTAAAATATACGACAGGTCTGGACCACAAGTGAATTTTTTTCGTATCTGAAAAAAATCTTAGAATAGAAGAAAATTGGTGAATGCCACAAATTCTCCTAAATCCCTCGTACGCACAATATGTTCGTACGAACGGTCCTTGCATGAGGCCCAATGTTTCTGAGCTGTAGGCAGTCAGTCAGTTAAAAATTGTCCACATAACCAAGTCTTACAATCTTATATCCAACCAAAAACAATTTTTGATCTTGTGTTAAAACTAATATACGTACTAAGCAACAGCAGAATGTGTTAAATTATTAGCACAATTGTCTTACTGTACTGGTAGATTATTAATTATTATAATTTTGAGATGATTCAGTATGATCTAGTATTTTAAACTTATTTTTAGATGACAGTTTTTTTTTATTTCTGATCATAAATGAATGCATTTCATTTATTTTTGTATCCTTTATTTATACATTTAATTTGTTTATTAATTGTATGAATGCATTTCATACAATTAATCAAAATATTCCCTTTACTTTGCTTTAAAATATAACTATATTAATAACAGACTGTCAGTAAAAACAAACAAAAAATGCTCAACTACTAATTTATTTTATGTCTTAAACCTTGGGGACATGTCTTTATGTCAAGACCATTTATTTTCTTTTCTAAAGAGAAAAAAATCAATAAAATGTCAAATAAATCTAATAAAAGATTATTTGTATTTCAAATGCAAAGCTCAAGGTACAGCTGCAGGGGCCACCAGAGTTCAGAACTCTGTTTGGGCTAATTATATTCTTCCACACCGAACTGATCAAACCATGTTTTTTTCATAAACCCTACTTTATACACTGAGACACTTGTCATGAAGTAAGTCGCTTTCTCAGCCCTTAAAAAACTATTTATATTCAGAACCATAGTCACCATGGTTTAAAAATTCAATAGTGCTGCTGCAGATGTTTTGTCTCACTCAACTAATTATACCAGAGTTATGTGGCCATAATGATCATGGCCCTGTCACAATTCTGCTAGGGTTGCAGTTATAATACTGTGTAAACAAAAATGAGACCAATCTAATAATCTTGCCACTGATTTGCAGATTCTTCCACCTGTGTGAGATGTCCCCCTGAATCCTGGTCAAATGACAGAAGAGATGCCTGTGTAACAAAGAAGGCTGAATTTTTATCATATACAGAAATTATGGGAATGATTTTCACAACTACAGCTTTATTTGGAACATGTTTGACTGCTGTTATAGCTTTCATCTTCTTCAGACACAGGACAACACCTCTTGTCAGAGCAAACAACTCTGAGCTGAGCTTCCTGCTGCTTTTCTCCTTGACTCTGTGTTTTCTCTGCTCTCTGACCTTCATTGGACGTCCCTCTGAGTGGTCCTGTATGCTCCGTCACACAGCTTTTGGCATCACCTTCGTCCTCTGCGTCTCCTGTATTCTGGGGAAAACAATGGTGGTTTTAATGGCGTTTAAAGCTACACTTCCAGGCAGTAATGTGATGAAACTTTTTGGGCCTACACAGCAGAAACTCAGTGTTCTGGGTTTTACTTGTATACAAGTTATAATATGTATACTCTGGTTGACAATTTCTCCTCCATTTCCATCCAAGAACTTTAAGGAATTCAAAGATAAAATCATTTTAGAGTGTGCTCTGGGCTCAGCTATAGGCTTTTGGGCTGTAATTGGGTACATTGGACTTCTCGCTGTGCTGTGTTTTGTTTTCGCGTTTCTGGCTCGAAAACTGCCTGATAATTTCAATGAAGCAAAATTCATCACATTCAGCATGCTGATATTCTGTGCAGTATGGATCACTTTTATCCCAGCATATGTCAGTTCTCCAGGAAAATTTAGTGTTGCTGTAGAAATATTTGCCATTCTTGCTTCTAGTTTTGGACTGCTGATTTGTGTCTTCATCCCAAAGTGTTACATCATGTTACTGAAACCAGAAAAGAATACAAAAAAGAATATAATGGGGAAAAGAACACATGATTTATTTTAAAAAAGCAGTGTGTTTCAAAAAATATTTTAACTTATGTATTTTAACATGTTCATTTGGAATTTTAGTTTGTCTTGTAGTATAAAAACTGAATATGTTTGTGTGTATGTGTGTAATATTAAAAATAAGGGAATATTAGTCAACAAACACGGATGTACACCAGTTTACCAACTGGATCTTGTTCAGTAATTTGACGCACAGACTTGGGTAGAAACTAGTTATATTTACTGTTATATTTATCTCAGTATTTTTTTTGGAAAAAATAATAAGAAAAACAATAAAACCCACTTTCTGTCAAAATGATGGATGACCCAAAAGTCAGGGGTCAAGCTGTGACCTCTAGGGTCAAGGCATGACCTCTGGGGTCATGGGAAATCCCCACTCCCACCTTTATCAATAACAGGTGTGACCTCTGGGGTCATGAGAAAAAACTCTCTTATAACAGAAGCTATAGGAAAAGAATGTGTGTCTTGATTCTGTCCGTTGAGAATGGTTTGAATGAATTGAACTAAATGCCCCCTTTACCCACATTTAACTTTAACTGGTGTGTGACCTCTGAGGTCATGAGAAACACTCCCTTATAATAGAAGCTATAGGACTAGAATGTGTATTTTGATTCTGTCCATCACAAAGAAATAATAAGTAGTCCAGCCCCACCAGAGTTTGCTAACCAATCAGAAAAGATGGATGGGATTTCTATTCCTTTATATATTCTTCTTACAGCGTCTTCACATTAATTCTATCACCACCAGTATTTGCTGTTGACAACTTGAACAAAAATGGTTAGAGTGAAGAGAAACAAACCTGCAAAGGTTACAAAGGCTGCAAATGCGAAGGAAGCTGCTCAGCGCACTCAAGAAGAGACACCTGAAGCGAAGACACCGTCGTTGCTTCAACTTCTGCCGTGGCCATGGAGCCTCCTGTTGCTGAGGCTTCATCTTCAATAACTTCGACAACTTTAAGCGAGGGTACCACAGTCGAAAATAATTCTGTAGCTATGAAAGATGCCTCAACATCAACTGAGGACATGCATCTCATAACCCCTGTGGTAAAGAATGACGCTCTTGTTTGTGAAACTGCCATTTCCATCTACTATCATTCTGACCGAGAGGTCAACGCTCCCTGGAGAAGCACTTTCTACCTGTGCAGAACGCAAATTCCTCCGCCTGAGCAGTTGCATCAGGAGTGGTCTCTGGAACTGCATGGATTCTGCGGATCCATGCGGAATCTGCGGAAAAGAGGCGAGCTAACCCTTTATCAGCTGGAGGTAGCAGGAGAATTGGAGCTGTTCAATTCTCAACCGGTGGGGTTGCTCACGTATGTAGGGGAGAGAGCTTAAGGTGAATTAAGCTTTTCTTACATCTCTCATAAACAAGGTTATGAAGAAATTTTTACCAAGGTATTTTCTAATTACTTTTAATATCTTGACTGTGCGAAGTGAAAAGTGACACAATAAGTGAACGTTCAGACGAGTTCAAGTTGATTCATAAAGACTATGCAATCATTTATTTACACAAATTGAACAACTCATAAATACACCTGATTGTGGTTATTCCTATAACAAGCTTCAAAGTTGAATGAGATAAAACTCGCGTCCGAATTTTAATTCACATCAACTCAGATTACTTATATCGAACAGTAAAACATCAGTTCTGATGTTATAACCAAACAATTTTACTGGCACTTTCAGCTTAAGTTTTGGCAAATAAAGAACAAAAAATGATGAAAGTAAGTTTAGTAGGGTTCTACTAATTTTACTTTATCAAAGAGTGTGATCCAACCGGATCAGCACATCCCTTCTGCGCTTAAGATTTCCACATGACATGTAACCCTGAACGTGCTCAGCTTTACCTGGTGATGGCTTCTTAAGCAACCCCTGGGTAGGCACTGTCTCACCTCCGATCAGTCAGGGAACTTTTTAGTCGGCTCGCTCACTGTTCCTTGGAGAGAAAGGTATTTCAGGTAACTTTTCGTTTGTTTCAGTCCAAGCCAGAAAGATTCAAGCTGTACATCCAGGTCCTCCTTTCAAAATAAAATCTCCCCTCGGGAGTTAAAACACACTTGGAGGCGAGGAGCCTCGGGTGGGACATCCGGCTGGCGTGCTGCTGTTCGGCTGTCAGATCCCCCTTAGTTAGCTCATGGGCAAGACCTAACGAGCCAAACTGGTTTCTCCGGAGAGAAACTCAGCCTTCCTTCCTAATTTGGCATCCAGGAAGAAGCGTGTCACTCAAAGACGTCCATGGTTAGTAAGAGAAATGGACGACTTTGGTTACGCCCTCAGGCGTAAGATGAGTCAGAGAAAGGAAGAAAGATAAAGACTTGCCACCCAGGCGCCAGCCAAGGTTTAATTCTGTGGTTGTTCAACAACAGAATATGATAACATTTCTTTAGCTTGTTCTTCTGATAGACTCTAAGTGAAATAACTGCAAAACATTTATGATGATTAATTAACATTTCTGTTTAAGTAATCAGTTTTGAACCTTTTGTTAGTCCAGATAAATGAAATATTTTCTCAAGAAAAATCTACAATTATATTACTGTGTTCACAGTAAAATAAAAATAGTGATTTATATAAAAACACAATGAAAACATTGTAATTAATTATTAATCTTTTAGGCATGATAAAAGAGAAGAAGTGGTTCCACTTTCTTGTGACAGTCATTATCATGATTTAACAAATGCATAAACATTCTTAGTTAAACAACAAATGAATCATGAACAGAAGATATTGGGCCTCATGCAAGAACATGTTCGTATTCTTATCCTAAATTTCTCTTACTTTTGTTCGTACAAAGGG